ACGCGTGTTTAAAGACGGCTAAACCCAAATGATTACAGTTCTAGGTATAGTGTTAGTTCTTACACTGCCACTAGAACTAACATTAGATCTAGAAATCGATGAAAAAAATACAAAATGTACGTCTGAAGATTAAATTTTATTCAAAAAATTTTGTTCTCAACGACTGGTTTCGATTTTTATACAATCGTTTTCAGATTGTTTGCTACGAATTAAACATAGATCAAAATATCACAAAAACGCGTTAAAATTAACATGTATTTACCTTAAAAAAAAGTAATTGTTATATTTTCGGACATCCTAATTCCAAAAACCATTATATCTGTGATTTTTAAGTGTAAGAATAGTTTTTTGTAAGATTTAACGTTTTTTTGTGTAATTTTAACAATAGTTTGACAAAAAAATACAACAAAGGAATTTTCTCTGTAACATACTAAAATAGAAGTGGCATGCTTCCCTCCATTTTTTCCTCAAGAATTGAATCTTTTTTGACAGTAAATACATGTTAATTTTGATGCGTTTTTGTGATATTTTGATTTTGATCTATGTTTAATTCGTAGCAAACAACCTGAAGACGATTGTATAAAAATCGAAACCGGTCGGTAAGAACAAAATTTTTTGAATAAAATTTAATCTTCAGAGCTACATTTTGTATTACTTTCATCGATTACTATAATTTACCTGAAGACAATGGAGACATTCATTAATTTATTAGATCTAGAACTAGAAATATTTGGCTTTCGCATTAAGTCTCTTAAGACGGCTAAACCCGAATGATTCTAGTTCTAGATCTTGTGTTAATTTTACTGATAGTGCAAAACTAGAATTCACACTAGACCGAGAACTAGAAACATTCGGATTTAGCCGTACATCTTTCAAAACGGCTAAACCTGAATGATTCTAGTTGTAGGTCTTGTTTTAATTCTACTGATAGTGCAAAACTAGAATTAACACTAGACCGAGAACTAGAAACATTCGGATTTAGCCGCACGTCTCTCAAGACGGCTAAACCCGAATGATTCTAGTTCTAGGTCTTGTGTTAGTTCTAGTGATAGTGCTAGTGTAAGACTAACACTAGACCGAGAACTAGAAACATTCAGGTTTAGCCGCACGTCTCTAAAGACGGCTAAACCCGAATGATTCTAGTACTAGGTCTTGTGTTAGTTCTAGTGATAGTGCTAGTGTAAGACTAACACTAGACCGAGAACTAGAAACATTCGGATTTAGCCGCACGTCTGTCAAAACGGCTAAACCCGAATGATTTAACTTCTAGGTCTTGTGTTAGTTCTAGTGATAGTGTAAAACTAGATAACTCTTAGGTTCGGTCTTAAGAGACGTAAGGTTAAACCCGAATGTTTTTAGTTTTAGGTCTAGTGTTAGTTGTAGTTTTACACTAGCACTATTAGTATGGGGAAGTAACACTGTACCTAGATCTAGAATCATTTGGGTTTAGCCGCACGGTTCTAAAGACGGCTAAACCCGAATGATTCTAGTTCTAGTTATAGCGTTTGTTCTAGTTTTACACTAACATTATTACCATGTGGAACTAACACTATACCTAGTACTAGAATCATTTGGGTTTAGCCGCACGTCTCTAAAGACGGCTAAACCCGAATGTTTCTGGTTCTAGTGCTAGTGTTAGTCCAGTTTTATATGTTATTCAGCGCTAAATTGTTGAATGTATATTTTTATGAAGCCCTGGTTTCTATGGAAATATATTTTTGTATATTCCATCTTAAGTGAAATACATTGTATGGTTTCCCCATGTTCTTACGGAAAGAAATTCAAGTCCAAATAAACTAAAAACTGATTAAATTTAAAAAAAAAAAGGGTTAGTTACTTTATTTAAAATAAAGATTAAATGTTTTTTAAACAATTTATCATTAATAAATATCCATAGTTATTTCAAATTAGTTCAATTTATGTTCACTAAAAATCAAAAATGTTGGTTTGGGAAATTGCATATTTATAACTACCCCATATACGTACCAACAAATTGCTGCAGCATATCTATTTAACCACGGTCTGAATGCATTATTAAATTAAACACTGAAATTTATAATGATATCCAATTGCCAACACAAATTTATTGCAAGGGCATAAAAGCATGAATTGAAAATGCTTTATGCCCCAAATCCACGGAATTAGTATTTTAGGAAATTATTATCATAATCGATTTCTACAGATGCATATCAAGATATGGTATAAATCGTATAATTAACAAATTCAAAGTCAAGTGTTTCTGAAGAAGACCTAACCTACTCGGCAAATAAATTATTAAAACTTGCATTAAAAACCCATAACTTAAAAAACGAATTTGATAAACATTCTAAGCCAATAATAAATACTTTTCAGTCTGTTTTAAAGCTTCAGGAGAAATAAATTTATATTGATGTTTTGATTTTTATTAAAAAAATCGAATACTTATAAGAAATTACAATTTGCTATCGTATTCACTTCAACTAGTATTCTAGAAAATTTGTGATATTCAAAATCTAATTTTAGCAGATGTAAATTTTTACACTAAATTACATCATTCATTAATACCATTGTCTTCGTGTCCGTTAATATCGATTAACAAATCTTACATCATTTGTGAAGAATGATCCTTAAATTCAAAGAATCATTTTAGTGTTTAACAAATTGAATTTAATAATTTTTTCTTAGATTTACCTGATGGTGTCGGAAGCAACAGGTTCCCTCCTCTATTTTACATAAAAACATTCACGAAGCACTCGTCCCGTCAGAATAGAGCGGCCAAAATCTAATTTGGCCACCAAAAAAAAAAGTTAATGTAAAGAAAAAGAAACACGGTAGTTTCTAATCGGCGCACAATATCTTCGGACGGTTTTTACCTATTAAATTTTTAATAGACTGGTTTTGGGTGCTCTTAGTAACGGGTCACGTTAAATATAAATGATTCTAAACAGGCGCGAGCAACGTTTTATACTTACGATTCCCCCATATCTTTTTACTCGTTATTATCAATCATTGTACAAACATAGCAGTGGGGCGGCCGAAAAAGATAAGCGATAATCGTTTAGACTTGGATCCTACTTATGTCACCCGTTTATGAACATTGTTTTCAAATGTAGTGGTGGGATGGTACTGGATACAGCCGCTTCCAGTATCCGATTAATAATTTTTTTGGACTTGGCGCCAAAAATCTACACTAAATTTTTATTTTGGGTATCAAATTTAATCCAATTAACGACAGATTTAAAAAAGAAATAATAAGGTCAAGGAATTAATTTTTTTTCTTTAAAAATTAAATTATGATCAACAATTTATGAAATTCAATAAATAACTACTTAAGCAATATTTAGCGTTGTTTATTAATTTTGATTGATTCATTATATTTAGTTCGGTTTTATTGGACCCAATCGAGTTCAATCCGATTTAGTATTTTAATTAATTTCTTTTTTCTCAATTTTTCGTTGATATGAAAACGTAAAATTCCAATGAGACGGATTTGTTTTTTATTTAACCCAATGATTAACGCGTGGCGTTGAATTATCAAAAAATATGCAGTGCAAAGTTGTTTTTTACGGATTTTATCGTTATTTACAAATAAATATAATAAAAGTTTCTCAGTTAGAATCAACAACTTAAACAACTTTGTGACGTTAATTTCTTATGGACAACGTTGTTCAGTTTATTGTACTTTGATAACGACGCGTAATCGAACAAGATAATACTGAATTATAGTGGTTATAGTTTGGATTTATATTTTATTGACCAACTTTTTTTAGAACCACAAAAATTTGTTTTTGCATTTAAGTTTTTTGGTTAAAAATAACTCCATTACAACGCAATAAATTATTTCAATCCTCCAACATCTTTGAAGTTAATTGTATATGCTCAGTTGAGCAAGCAGATCTAAATCATTAATACAATAAAAAATATGGCAAAAGTAAGACCAATATTCAGAAATAAAGAAGAAAATATGACCAGCGACTCCATTATTATTATTGCTACCGGGCTGATAAATAAGTTCTATTGTAACTTTAAACCTTCAAAAGTTAATGAACCTTAGTATTGTTCCAAGGTCTTGTTCCTTTATATAATATATAATTTATATTATATTTTATTTTTTTGGTATTCCGTACAGTTTCGCGGATAAGTTATCAGTTCTTCAAAGGAATTGTAATTGCAAAAAATTATCAAGATACTGCTGACAGAAGACTATATATTGCTAATAGAAGATGAGATAGTACTGACAGAAGACTATTTGTAGTCTAATTGAAGACTCACTGCAAAAGATTACATTTATCAGAAGATGAGATGCCACTTACAAAAGATTAAATACTGCTGGAAGAAGACTATATACGTTTTACAGAAGATTGTATGAATCGAAAGACTAGAAAGTATTTGCAGAAGACTAGATACTGCTGGGAGAAGACTACATATTGCTAATAGAAGACGAAATACTACTGGCAGAAGACTATATATTGCTAATAGAAGACGAGATATTGCTTGCAAATGATGACTAGATACTCCTTGCAGAAGATTATATAAATTAGATCCTGCTAAATTGGTGTAGGTACCAAAAATTTTGTGTCTTAGGCGGCCTCTATGTATAGACATAGTATATGTTCAGCCGTTTCTGACATATCATTGCAAAGCCGACATGTTTGATTCTCAGCTTGTCCAATGTGGAAGAGGTGGTACTTTTAGGGCTCATGGCCGGTCAGGAAATCTGAGAACGTCCTTAGATACCCTTCGCTGAGGCATAAAACCTCTTTGGTTTTGCTTTGCGACGGAGTTATCATGCTTTTAGCTTGTCTGTGACCTAGAAGTTTTTTCCAGCGTCTTCCTTCTCATTACGCTTAATGTCTCTGTGACCTGGAACCCACCATAGAGTAACATCATTACCCCTAGTGCGAAGATGAGATACTGCTGACAGAAGACTACAAATAACTAATTGAAGACTCACTGCAAAAGATTACATTAGTGAAGATTATATGAATCGAAAGACTAGAAAGTATTTGCAGAAGACTAGATACTGCTGGGACAAGACTACATATTGCTAATAGAAGACGAAATACTATTGGCAGAAGACTATATATTGCTAATAGAAGACGAGATATTGCTTGCAAATGTTTAAATGCTGCGTAAGAAGACTAGATACTCCTTCCTAGATACTTCCATTATATAAATTAGATCCTGCTAAATTGGTGTAGGTCCCAAAAATTTTGTGTCTTAGGCGGCCTCTATGTATAGACATAGTATATGTTCAGCCGTTTCTGACATATCATTGCAAAGCCGACATGTTTGATTCTCAGCTTGTCCAATGTGGAAGAGGTGGTACTTTTAGGGCTCATGGCCGGTCAAGAAATATGAGAGCGTCCTTAGATCCCCTTCGCTGAGGCATAAAACCTCTTTGGTTTTGTTTTGCGATGGAGTTATCATGCTTTTAGCTTGTCTGTGACCTAGAAGTTTTTTCCAGCGTCTTCCTTCTCATTGCGCTTAATGTCTCTGTGACCTGGAACCCACCATAGAGTAATATCATTACCCCTAGTGAGTTCTCTCAGGTTGCTGGTATTCTCTGATCATTGCGGAGTCATACGTGTAGGCCTAAATTGTCTTTAGGGTGGCCCGACTATCTGTGAAAATGTTTATGGATGCACCTTCCTGTCACTTTTTTAGGTTCAAAACGGTGCAGAAGTTTATATCAAGTAGTTTTGCTTGAAAAATGGTCATGTCCGAGCTGAAGGGCAATTTATTGCGGTTATTTGACCGACCCCATAGCCATCAAAGAAGCCTGGAGGAAATAATCTTGGAGAGTAACTCAAAAACATAGTATATGTTCAGCCGTTTCTGACATATCATTGCAAAGCCGACATGTTTGATTCTCAGCTTGTCCAATGTGGAAGAGGTGATACTTTTAGGGCTTATGGCCGGTCAGGAAATCTGAGAGCATCCTTAGATCCCCTTCGCTGAGGCATAAAACTTCTTTGGTTTTGTTTTGCGACGGAGTTATCATGCTTTTAGCTTGTCTGTGACCTAGAAGTTTTTTCCAGAGTCTTCCTTCTCATTGCGCTTAATGTCTCTGTGACCTGGAACCCACCATAGAGTAACATCATAGTGAGTTCTCTCAGGTTGCTGGTCCTCTCTGATCATTGCGGAGTCATACGTGTAGGCCTAAATTGTCTTTAGGGTGGCCCGACTATCTGTGAAAATGTTTATGGATGCACCTTCCTGTAACTTTTTTAGGTTCAAAGCGGTGCAGAAGTTTATATCAAGTAGTTCTGCTTGAAAAATGATTATGTCCGAGCTGAATGCGGCTATTTGGTCCACTAATGCCCATCGACCCCATAGCCAAGAAAAAGCCTGGAGGAAATAATCTTGGAGAGTAACTCAAAAACACGTAGAAGAAAAGGGCAACCCAAAACCAACTGGAACACCAGACATAACGGTGCCCCCAGGGGGGCGAATGGCCCCGTGGTAAGCTCTTGGGCTACCACGCCGGCGTCCTGGGTTCGATTCCCAGTGAATACACGCCGAGTCGCCTCCCGTCCTTCGGAGGGGACGTTAAGCCGTCGGTCCCGGTAACCAGTCTAACATCTCTGATTGTCGTCAGATACATGTGTAGTTGGAGGTTGTGAACGTAAAAACGGGTTGAAAGCGCGTCTGCGCTCTTTGAGCGGTACTCAGCCATGCACCCAAGTTTCTGGGCGTTGGAGTACCAGCCCGGCTTGGGGGTCGTCTTCAAATTGCTGGGCGTTGGAGTACCAGCCCGGCTGAAGGCGAGGCGAGAAGCGGTATCAGCCTGATCGGATGCCATCTTCGAACATCTTTCACTCCTCCAAATAGACCTACACATGGCCGAAGTAAACCGTGAGGATGTACAAAGGGACCGTTGGGGCCTAAGTGCTTTGGTTATACCACCTGTGGTTTAACCAACCTCACATGAAACTACATACATACAACGGTGCCCCCACCAACGAAAGAAGAAGTTTAGGTAATGCGATAAGATTAATGGAAGACGGAATGGGATGACATCCCAGCCGAATTGAACTACATATTAGCAGAAGAAACGATTCCTCACGACTGCAAAGGAAGTATCGTATGTCCAATACACAAAAAGAGTAACAAAATGAAGTAAAATTAACCAAAGGAACCAAAAAGGAGACCGGATAGACCAAGGGGATGGACAATGCTCTTTTGGGGAACAGATGTGGAGACGAGAGGCAAGTGATAAGGATGTTTGGAGAGTAAGAAAGATGGATTGGATCTTCTCCATGGAGAGGGAAGATAAAAACTTAAGCGTGGCATTAAAAAAAAAGTAGTATTTCAATCACATATCATCACATAGACTTGACGCTAAAAAATATATGGTACATCCACAAATAATCTAGTGGAGCAATCCCGACCCCAAATAAGATGTTTACTCTCACTGATCCTAGATGCGCAAATGTATTCTATATGGGTATCTGACATCTAACCACTATTTTTCTTCATTTTCTGTACATTTCTGATTCCCTTTTCGCCTAAGTTGCGTTCACTTTCCGTCCTTCCATAATAAAAAAAAACTTTTATCACTTCATATTCTGTGAGACTAACACCATTTTGAGGTTCACCATGAATTTTGAGGAATAACCATAAATCGTAGTTTGTAGAAAGGTATCTCAGAAAGAGACGTGATAAAGTTATTTGTATTTTGGCTTAATTTTAAATTAATTAAAATTAGTTGGTTATTAGTAGGCCATCACAGTATCACACTCTGTATATTTTTTGAGTTGAAAAAATTAGATAAATTTTTATTAGATACTTTTCCTTCACTTTTTTTTCCATATTGTTGCATTTCTGATTCCCTTTCAGCCTTGCTTCCATTCACTTTTCAACTTTCCATAATAAAGAAAAACTTTTATCACTTCATATTTTGTGAGATTAACACAATTTTGAAGTTCACCATTAATTTTGAGGAATAACCATAAATCGTAGTTTGTATCTCAGTAAGAGACGTGATAAAGTTATTTGTATTTTGGCTTAATTTTAAATTAATTAAAATTAGTTGCTTATTAGTTGGCCATCACACTCTGTATATTTTTTGAGTTGAAAAAATTGGATAAATTTGTATTAGATCCTTTTCCTTCATTTTCTTTACAAATCGTTGCATTTCTGATTCCCTTTTCGTCGTAGTTGCGTTCACTCTCCATCCTTCCATAATAAAAAAAAAACTTTTATCACTTCATATTTTGTGAGACTAACACAATTTTGAGGTTCACCATCAATTTTGAAGAATAACCATAAATCATACTTTGTAGAAAGGTATCTCAGTGAGAGACGTGATAAAGTTATTCGTATTTTGGCTTAATTTAAAATTAATTAAAATTAGTTGGCCATCACACTCTGTATATTTTTTGAGTTGAAAAAATCAGATAAATTTTTATTAGATCCTTTTCCTTCATTGTCTTTACATATTGTTGCATTTCTAATTCCATTTTCGCCTTGGTTGCGTTCACTCTCCGTCCTTCCATAATAAAAAAAAATTTTTATCACTTCATATTCTGTGAGATTAACACAATTTTGAAGTTAACCATTAATTTTGAGGAATAACCATAAATCATACTTTGTATCTCAGTAAGAGACGTGATAAAGTTATTTATATTTTGGCTTAATTTTAAATTAATTAAAATTAGTTGCTTATTAGTTAGCCATCACAGTATCACACTCTGTATATTTTTTTAAGTTGAAAAAATTAGATAAATTTTTATTAGATACTTTTCTTTAAATATAACTGATAATAACCTGTTTTTTATTGATAACTCATTCAAGGTTTTTTTGTTAAAACGCGGTTCTGTTAGCAACAGGTTTATTTTAAATTTTGGAAATTTTTCATAATAAATATGAATGACACGATTTTTTTTAAGATTAATTTTTATTCAAAAAAGTTTCAGTGAAACAATCATAATACAAAATAAATTAAAGAAAATCACTTTTGCATATTCTTCTGGATCTGTTCCAATAAAAATTCCATCCTATCTTTCATAATCGGTTGTCCCTTTTTGGTTTTTCTATTCAATCTTTTAAATTTAACAAGTCTTTCTTCTTTACTCTTTTTTAGAGCTTCTTTTTTTTCAGCTTTTTTCTTAATCATTTCCTCTTTCAATTTCTTTTTTTCTTCTTTAATCCTTTCAAATTCTTCGTGAGCCTTTTTTCTTGCTTTGTTCTTCTTAAATTCGTTTTCTTCAATAGGGGCTTCTTCCTGTTCTGTTTGTAGGAGAGTTTCATTATTTGTATCAAGCTCATTTTCATCATATATTTTTTTCACATCAAATTTTGGTCTGTCATCAATTTGCTTGTAATACTCCCTCAAAACTTCCTTTTTTCTTCTATCTTCCCACTGCTGTACTTTGTATTTTCTACTGTACCTTTGCATTCTCCATTTTTTTTTATCAAAAGGTTTCCTTTCTGTTGAACTCGTTTTGGGTTTAAAACCTTCATTGATGGTTTTATTTTGAGATGGATCTGGTTTAAAGAAAAAGCTGCTACTTCCTTGCTGTGATGGTTTCTCATTTGGTGCTTTAGTAGCTTTAAAATTTTCTTTGAAACTTCCCGTTGGTTTCACTTTGTTTGACATAAACATTCCTTTTCTTGGCGCCATGATTTTTGTGTGATTCAAAGTTTTTCTTTTAGAGTCCTAAAAGACACTGTGCTTTATTTTTTTTACAATCGAACTTTTTTCAAACTAGAATTACGCAATATTAACTATAATACTTGTGCAAATTTCTATTACTCATCACGCGATGATGAATTTGATAAGGAAAAGGCCACGATTTTTATAAACAGATTTAGCAACTTAACATTCTTGGGCGCAGAAGACAAAACATTCTTTGCTGATTATGTTTTATCGCTTTAATGTATTTAAAAATATAATAAAAACAAAAAGACAAGAAAACTATTAAATTGCAATTTGTAAGAAATTCGAAACTATTTTAATATGATTTTAAGTAGCCTTAAAAAGTCCGCGGGGAAAAACTATCGTTTCAACTTTCTCAGAATACAATTATATTGGTCATGCCAGAACGTACACGTCGCTATGTTTAAAAATAAAGTCGTTATTTCCAATTATCTTCGAAAGAGAATAAAATGATAATTAGATTTGGTATTAAGGTTAAACTATTATCACCACACATCGTGATTGTGACGCAAAATAGGTAACCACCTCACATTTTTTTGAACTTAAGTCAATAATTTCACAATTCGCAGAAAACTTGTGATGTCACTCTCTCAACAACCTCGAAAATTTCCGCTGTGTTGCCACATCAATTTTACCTTATTTTCCCCATATAACCTTTTAATGTTATCTTATTGTAATAAACATGATATCTACAGACGTAAATTGTGTTTATCGTTTTAATTAGTATTTAATTAATTCCAATTTAAAACAACAAGCGTTCACCATACGGATTTGTATCAAAAAAAAAAAAAAATTTTTTTTGAGGGCTTTTTCGAAAACTTCCTTACACATCTATTTGCATTAATAACCGAATTTATTGATTATAAAAGCTTTTAGATTGATGCTGCTTAAAATTAATTATATAAATAGAAAAAAACCGTTTTAATTAACGAATTGTCACAACATGGCCACCTGAAATCGGAGGCTTGATAAAAACGTACCTTCCGATGCCACCCCTCGGGTTGGCAGGAGCTTTTCGGCGGAATCTTGGTTTTTTGTGAAAACGTCTGATTAAAAATCAGTAGAATTCTGTGTCAGACGCTGATTTCTTTCGGGGTTTCACTTTGCGGACGCAAAACCATGCCGCACACCATTACCGTACACTCGAAAGAGATTGACAGTTCGCTTCAGCACCCCCTTGTAACGATTTCACGAAATTAATCATACAACACATGCGCTCTGTAAGTATCTATAATAATTAGGCAACCTAATATACACGGTTATTGCCTATATTGATAAAACATTTACATTTAATTAAATATTTATCTTTTATCAACATAATTAAGCATTAATTGCCATAATTATTGGAAGGTGACTGGTTTATTGTTCTCAATCATTATTTCCAAGTATTTTTACAAAGATTTATTTTTTAACAATTTGAATTTGTTCATATTAGTTTTTCATGCAATTTTGTTTAGTTATAGTTATATTTTCCGTAACAGGCTAATTTGTGCTTATCAAAGCTCTATTAAAAACAATCAATTAAATTTCTAATTGGCCAGGATCATATCAAACCCAATAATCTTCTAATATGTTATCATCAATACCTCCAAACTCAAAACATATCTACCTTACCAGGAGGAAATTTATTAAACACAAAAACATAAAATTTTTTTATTTAATGTAGGCAATCTAATTGATATATTTTACTGTTGTTATAGAATAAAAGCGATTAATACATATAAATTCATTTATTAATCTGTTATAATTGATATCCATATTCTTGTATCCATTTAAATGTAAGATCTGTTGGTTTATACTCTAATCCAATCCAATCGTTATATCCCAATTCTTGAATTAGTTTTAATAAATACTTGTAGTTTATTTCTCCTTCAGTATTTGGTTCATTTCTGTTTGGAACTTGAGCGATTTGAATATGTCCTGTGTGTTCTAATAAATCTTTGATGGTGTTTGATAAATTTCCGCGTATATGCTGCATATGAAATATGTCTAACATGATTTTTAAGTTAGGGTTTCCAACCTTTTTTATGGTATTCAACGCTTTATTATAGCAATTCATGTAATAATTAGGTATAGAGTAATTATTAATTGGTTCAATTACAGCTAAAATGTTTTCTTTTTGTAGCATATCTGATGCTAGTTTTAAATTTTTTATGTACACTTCATCATTTTCCATAGAAGGGGATTCCACTTTTCCAGACATAACATGGACTCTATAATTTTTTTAATTAGTAATTTTTTTAAACATCTTTAAACATTTACTTTTTAACATCTAAATTTCTTGCTAATTGAATAGTTTTCTCCATGCTATCTTTAAATTCGTTTTCTTTTCCTGGAATAGCAGCAAATCCTAACTCACCTTTACTAACATCTCCTTTAAAAAAATAATTCTTGTTAATTAAAGAATTAAAAAAAAAAATAATATTCACCAGTGTAAACATTCAATAAAACCTGTTGAATTCCAGAATAGTTTTTAGCACGGATTACATCTTCTTGTTTGATACCAAACGGATATCCAGATTCAACAGCTTTAAAACCAGCTTTTTTAGCGAGATTGTATCGTTCTAAAAAAGAACTTTCCACGAACATGAACGACAAATTAGCGCAAAATTTTGCCATAATTTCTTTTTGTCTTAAGGTAACCTTTTTATTTACTCAAATAATTGTTGGAAATAAACGATAATGAAATTAATGGAACGATAAGAATGATAGGAATTAATTGACCTTACAAACGAGGCTGATAACACCTAAAGTCAACACTGAGGTTTACTTTCTAAAAATAATAATAAAACAGCTCTGTAAATTAAGTTGCAGAATAATTTGAATTAAACAAATCAATAATTTGTCAGTGTTAAAATGTTTTGACGTTTATAAGGCTATCATTTTTAGTTAGATCGTTTAATTACAATGATTATATTTTATATTATTTTACCTAAATAATTAAGTTAAAAAAGTATTAAGTAACTGAAAGTAATCTTCTTTTTAAGTTTACGCGTTAGATAAGATTCATTCTTGTGCCATGTTTTAGATGAGGTGCCAATTATTGATGAGTAAAGTGTTATTGAAAAAATTCTTTTATTTTGTATAAAAAACTTGCCTTTTTAGTCATAATAATCTGCCTAATAATTTATATGAAAAAGTCGGTAAGGGAATTGCTAATTTTCGAATTTGGCAAAGATTTACGGAAGAATGTTCGATTTGGCAGGCAAAAATGTTTTTTAGGTTTAGTGCTAGTTTTTGCTGTCCTGTTTTTGTAGTTTCTAGCCGTCTTGAAAGACACATGGCTAAACCCGAATGTTTTCAGTTCTAGGCCTAATGTTAGTTCTAGTGATAGTATTAGTTCTAGTTTTTGTTGTTATTCAGGTTGTTTAGCCAGGTTGTTTCATATTTTCAATTAAATAAAACTAGAACTAACACTAGACCTAGAACTAGAATCATTCGGGTTTAGCCGTCTTTAGAGACGTGTGGCTAAACCCAAATGATTCTAGTTCTAGGTATAGTCTTAGTTCTACATACTAGTAATAGTGCTAGTGTAAAACTAGAACTAACACTATACCAAGAACTGGAATCATTCGGCTTCAGCCGTTTTTAGAGACGTGTGGCTAAACCCAAATGATTCTAGTTTTAGGTATAGTCTTAGTTCTACATACTAGTAATAATGCTAGTGTAAAACTAGAACTCACACTATACCAAGAACTAGAATCATTTGGGTTTAGCCGTCTTTAGAGACATGCGGCTAAACCCGAATGTTTCTAGTTCTCAGTCTAGTGTTAGTTCTAGTATTGCACTAGTACT